TTTTAGCGTCCGCTGGTCCACTGCCAGCGTCATCAGAGTAAGCATTTGGGGTGGGGAGTTTGTTTATAAACCTGGTTGACTCCGTGCTTTACCCATTGATTGTGTTTGAGGACTTTATACCACTACACAAATATGCCTGGGATTCGCATTCTCTCTCTCTCTCTCTCTCTCTCTCTCTCTCTCTCTCTCTCTCTCTCTCTCTCTCTCTCTCTCTCTCTCTCTTTGTGTGTGTGTGTGTGATCATCTTCACTTTTTAAACCATTCCCTATAGATACCTCTAAGTTGACAGCATATCACTGAACAATTCAACTTTCAAGCATTTCATGGTTGGGATGCAAAACGTTTTCCCATGTGGCAGTTTTAAGATGTGTGCTCTTTAACTCCCAGAATTCCCCAGCCATAAAAACACTGTGTGTGTGTGTTTGTGTGTCTGTGTGAGTGAGAGAGAGAGAGGGGGGAGGGAGGGAGGGAGAGAGAGAGGGAGGGAGACCCCAGGCCTTCTCCCTTTGGCCCTCTTCAAACCTCGCTTTATTTCAGCAGGTGATGTCCGACAGAATGAAAACATCAGGGATCTTTTGAAAGTTGCCTCCAACAGAGCCGAGCCCCAAAAGTCGGAAGAGGTGCGTCCACTGAGGAGGACAAGGAGAAACTACCTCACGGATAAGTGTAAGAAAACCATGGCTTCCCAAGCGGTGGGATTCCATAACGCTTCCCTCCCCGAAGAGAAACCGAACGAAAAGAGAAAATACAAGTGCAACGTTTGCGGGAAGTTTTTCAGTTATAAGTCGAGTCTGAAGATACACCTGAGGATCCACACTGGGGAGAAACCGTACAAGTGCCTGGAGTGCGGGAAGAGCTTTATCCGTAGCGACCTCCTGACCTCCCATCAAAGGATCCACACAGGAGAGAAGCCCTACAGTTGCTCCTTTTGTGGCAAGAGTTTCTGCGACTTGTCCACGCTGATCAAGCATCGGAGGATCCACACGGGGGAGAAGCCGTACGTCTGCGGGGAGTGCGGCAAGAGCTTCAGTCAGAAGGCGATTCTGAATTCCCACCTGAGGATTCACACGGGGGAGAAACCCCATAAATGCGCCGAGTGCGGGAACAGCTTCAGCCGGAGCACATACCTGACTTCCCATCAGAGAGTTCACCTGGGGGAACGGAGGTATCAAAACGCAGATTGCAGCCTCCTGGACCAGCCCAAATTGATTCACCCCCCGATGGTTCATGTGGAGGAGAAGACCTATAAACGCCTCGAATACGGTCAGAAGTTGAAGCAGCACTCGCCGTGCTTGGCCCACCAGAAAATGTACGCGTTGGGCAAAAGTATCAGTGTTTTCGAATGCGGAGACAAGATTCAGTTGGAGGCTGTGGCTTGCGAGACTTCAGAGAAGCCGAGTAATTAGCTGATTAGCCACCGACCTGCTCGCCTATGTCGGAGTTTTTCTCCTGGCAATCAGAGAAAATTTCCAGTCCAACTGGCATTAAAGCAATATGTGGAACTGCTGCAGTTGGGGGTGTGTGTATGTGTTCAAAAGATTTGAACTCTTTGTCTCTTTCAAGGAGTTGTGCACTAGGGAGCTGCAAGATGCTGCTTTGGGGGGGGATAGCAATAGCAATAGCACTTAGACCAGTGGTTCTCAACCTATTTAATGCCGCGACCCCCACCCGGACGTAAGTCAAGGACTTCTCAACCGGTCGTAAGTCAAGGACTAAACCGGTTGTAAGTCGAGGACTACCCAACCGGTTGTAAGTCGAGGACTTTCCCTGCCCGGGAGCGCCGCACATGTGTGGTGCTGCTCCCTGCACCGGCCGAGGTATAGCTGGCAAGCAGCAGAGACGGCGCAGGGCGACCACCGGCTGGGCCACCAGGTGGCCCAGCCCAAGGGAGGTAAGGCACCCACCGGGCTCCACGCACGCCAGCAACCCTCCCTGCGCCCGCCGGCCTCCCACCTCCCACCCCTGGCCCTCTTTTACTTACATTTTTAGTAGTTGCTCAGCAGGGAGGTGTAGAAACTTCCAGACAGCTCGCCTTCGCTGCAAACAACTTGCAGCACCATTTGCAGAATGGGACTTTTGGCGGGCTCAGCAGGGCAGAGACAGCCTGGACAATTCCTATTGGCTTTTGAAAGCAAATAGAATTAGACTCTATTCAAGAGAGTCTATTCTATTGGCTTTCAAAAGCCAATAGAATAAAAGGGAGTAGCACAGCTAAGGAAAAGGGGGAAAAAATGGCGGACTGCGTTGTTTGGCGACCCCCGTGAAATGGTCGTTCGATCCCAAATGGGGTCGCGACCCATAGGTTGAGAACCGCTGACTTAGACTTATATACCGCTTCACTGTGTTTTACAGCCCTCTCTAAGCGGTTTACAGAGTCACCCTGTTCCCCCCCAACAATCTGGGTCCTCATTTTACTGACCTCGGAAGGCTGAGTCAACCTTGAGCCAGTGAGAATTGAACTCCTGGCGGTTGGCAGAATTAACCTGCAATACCGCATTCTAACCATTGTGCCACCACGGCACAAGGATGAGGATAAGAATTGAACTGCTGGCAGTCGGCAGAAGTAGCCCGCAGTACTGCATTCTAACCACTGCGCCACCACGGCTCGTGATAGCTATCGTGGTTACCTATCCGTCTCAGGTTTCAGCCAAGAAGGAAGTGCTTCCACTTCCCATCCTCCATGGCACCTTGTTCCCAAGCCGAGAAGTCATCCACACCTGGCTGGCAATATTTGAAGAGTCTAAATCAGTGTTTCTCAACCTTGACAATTTTAAGGCATGTGGACTTCAACTCCCAGAATTCCACAGCCAGCATTGCTGGCTGTGGAATTCTGGGAGTTGAAGTCCACATGCCTTAAAATTGTCAAGGTTGAGAAACACTGGTCTAAATATTAGCCCTGGCAATCAGTGGACATAGATAGTCCCCGACTTACAACATTTCTTTTACTGACTGTTCGAAGTTAGCAATGGCACTGAAAGAAATGGAATTGGGACCGCTTTTCACACTTAATGACCGCTGTGGCCTCTCCACGGTCACGTGATCAAAATTCGTACGCTAGGCAAATTGACTCATATTTATGACGGTGGCAGTGTCCCGGAGTCCTGTGATCCCATTTGCGACCTTCTGCCAAGCAAAGCCAATGGGGAAGCCAGATTCGCTTAACAAACTGTGTTACTTAACTTGACAACTGCAGTGACTCGCTTAATGGCTGTGGCAAGAAAGGTCGTAAAACGCGGCTAAACTCACTTAACAAACGGCTTCTGAAGAGAAATGTTGAGCTTCGTCGTGGTTATAAAGTCGAGGACTACTGTGGAGAAATATTTTCAGAGTAGTATCTTTTTATTAAAACAATAGAAGTCGTAGCTGCTTTTCTCAATTCTCCGTCGTTTAAAGCAGGGCCTCTGGTGTCTTTTGGGCGAATGCTTTGGGATATGGGATGGGGAGGGAGGTGTCACACAAAATGGTTGCCAGGGCAACGGGCTGCCTGTTCACCTACCCCCACTCCCAAACTACAGGTCCTTTAACAAACTATCATTTAGCGACCATTCAAAATTATCCAGAAGGTGCTTTTTCAAGAGGCAAATGGACCGTCTTGGTTTTCTTTGAAGACGTTTCGCTTCCCGTCCAAGAAGCTTCTTCCACTCTCTTTCAGAGTTATGATTTACCCTTTCCAGAGATGCTTATGATCCAGTTCTGGATAGCTGTACCCCCCATGGTCCAGTGACCCCGTTTCAAATGCTCAGCAGCTGGCCTGCATTCATAGCTGTTTGCAGCACGTTTTATGATGTTTTTGCTCCAAACCAGCATTTACTTCCAGTTCCAATAAAGGAGAACAATTATACCTCAGGGTTAAAATGAGGGGTCCTTGGTGCTCTCTGAGCTTTTATGTATCCTTGCAGACGTTTCATTATCCAAACTAAGTACCATAACAGAATTAACAGAGCTGAGAGGGACCTTGGAGGTAGTCCAACCTCCTGCTCAAGCAGGAAACCATTCAAATGGTTGCCCAATTTTTTTCTTAAAAGCCTCCAGTGGTGGAGTACCCACAACTTCTGGAGGCAAGCTGTTCCACTGACTAATCGTTTCAACCGTCAGGACCTGGTTCTGGAGCTCCAAAGGCCGCACCTCTCTCTCCGCGGCCACATTGGGGTGCATAACATTGAACGACAGACATTAGCAACAGACATTTTGGGCTCAATCACGGTCGTAAGTCGAGGACCACCTGTATCACCTGAGGAGAGACATTTTTGGATTTTTTCTCTCTCTCTCTTGCAATGGCAAATGTGCCTGCTTCCCATCCTTCTGGCTGTCAGCATAGCTTCTAGCACAGTGGTTCTCAACCTTTTTAATGCCGCGACCCCAACCGGTCGTAAGTCGAGGACTACCCAACCGGTCGTAAGTCGAGGACTACCCAACTGGTCGTAAGTCAAGGACTTTTCCTGCCCGGGAGTGCCGCGCATGCGTGGTGCTGCCCCCTGCGCTGACCGAGGTGTAGCTGGCAAGCGGCAGAGATGGTGCAGGCCGACCACCGGCTGGGCCACCAGCTGGCCCAGCCCCAAGGGAGGTAAGGCACCCGCCGGCCCCACACGCGCCAGCAACCCTCCCTACGCCCGCCGGCCTCCCACCTCCCACCCCTGGCCCTCTTTTACTTACATTTTTAGTAATTGCTCAGCAGGGAGGGGTGGAAATTTCCAGACAGCTCGCCTTCGCTGCAGACAACTTGCAGCACCGTTTGCAGAATGGGACTTTTGGTGGGCTCAGCAGGGCAGAGACAGCCTGGACAATTCCTATTGGCTTTTGAAAGAGATGTCAATGAAGCATGAGCCAACAGCGTGTTGCAGTTGACAAGATAGCCAATGCAATCTTGGGCTGCATCAAAAGAGATACACACACATCCTCTCCTCGTTTAGCAACCATAATCCGTTTCTTAAGTTGGAAGCAAAATGGTCACTAAGGAAAATGGTCACCAAGCACAAGTGTGACGGAGAAAGAGAGAGAGAGAGAGAGAGAGAGAGAGAGAGAGGGAGGGAGGGAGAGAGAGAGAGAGAGAGAGAGAAAGAGAAATACTGTGAAGATCCCTGGTTGTGGCGTTTCATTTTTAGATTAAAGTTCTCGTTACTCTTGCTCTGGTGTGTGTTCTTGTCTGCGCACAAAATTCAATTGCAACCGCACCTCCTGGTCAGAAGATGATTCTTTTTTAAAAAAAATACCATCATATTTAATAAGATTGGTCATAAAGATGTTGAGATTGTGAGAAGTGATCGGTCTGTTTTATACCACATGACTCAAAACATATCTGGAAGGACGTGCCAGTTGTGATCATTATAATACAAGAGGGAGGGAAAGATCCTGGAAAGACTGGGGAGGAGAGCCAAAACGGGTTGTGAACAGCGGGAAAAATAAGTCCTCTGAAGCACGGGTCTCCAACCCAAGGTGCCGGGGCCCACTACCGGGCCTTGAGCAGTTTGGAACCGGGCCGTGGTAGTCGCAAGTGCACGAATTCCCACTTGCGGAAGCAGCATGCGAGTGCATGCACTTCATTTGTGTGAGGAACAGGTGTGGGTGCCTGCCACTCAAGCAAATGAAGCTGTGTGTGCGCGCGCTTGCACAGCCGCTCACGCACAACCATCTCCTCTCTGCCCCCCTCCCCACCGGTCGACAAAGCCGGAAAGATTGGGGAAATCTACTCCGAAGAACCGTTGAGAGAAATGTGCTAAAGAAGAGAACGCAAAGGAAGATGTAATGAGCGTCTTCCAGCACAGGTAGTCCTCAATTTACAACCATTCATTTAAATGTATATGGAGATTCTCAGTCATCCAGGTTATGGTTGTCCCAAAGGTGCTTTTTCACGAGGAAGCTGGACTTTCTTGTTTCGCTTCTTACTGTTCTGATCCAGAGTTAAGTTGCTTTGTAAAACCGGGTTAGACAGATAAACTCAATAGAAATGATTGCAAACCAGATATATATTTATTCAGAGAAATACTTGCATTTATGATGATTGCTTCTGGATATTACACGTCTGTTCATTCCTATAGGTGAGAAATTAATACTTTCTCCATACCACTTCTATAACTTGGATTTGAGCCATTGGAGACATGCGATGACCCCATGCTTTCTCAAAGACATTCCAAAACTGGCTCGTGTCCAGGAAGTCTTGCAATGCCTTTAGAAACTCCTCCCACTAACCTACTAATATGATATAGCTGACTAGCTAAACTACATTACTCATAAGCCATCTCTTAAGGAGACAGCACTTAACCCAATAAATGCCAGATTCTAATATACAGACCTACGTGATCCAGAACAATGGATGGTGGGGAATGGAAGGAGTTATACTCCTAGCAGACTCATTATACATTTGCAACCTTTTAAAGAGTCATTGAGGCCACTTGGAAATTTACCTGTGCCCTCAGGATCACCTGAGTGGTGCAAATGGGTATGGAGCCTTCATGGCTGCAGGATGTTTCTTGCTCTGTGCCCTTCACTGCTGAAGACCGGCTCAGGATGTTGGGGATGAGTCTGTGTTGTCTGCATCTCAAACTGAAGTGTAAACAGTTCCTGTAGTCTGCAATGTTTTTCTGGAAATCCGTTCTTCCTCCCTCACCATTCTAACGGCGTTCATCCCAAAGTGCATAGCTAAATGACCAGCTGTCTGCAAGGAGTATAAATCCTTCCATCCCCCCACCATCCAGTCAGATTGGAAGAAGCTTCTTGGATGAGAAGCGAAACGTCTTCAAAGGAAACACAAGAAAGTCCAGTTGCCTCTTGAAAAAAGCCCCTTTGAGACAACCACGACCCAGATGACTGAGAATCTCCATAGACTTTCAATTTTTTCCAGTGGTGTTGTAATTTTGAATAGCTGTAAGCCGAGAACTACCTGCAAAAAAAAATGGGGCAAAACTCACTTAGCAACGTAAATTCTAGGCTCAATTGTGGTCGTAAGTCGAGGACCACCTGTTTTAAGCCTTAGAAATGGCCGGCATTTGAAACTGGAATGCAACTGTTGCATCACAAAGAGAGGTTAATTTGTCGGCTGCTTCTCCCGTGTGGATTCTCTGATGTCTAATAAGGTTGGTGCTTTGGCTAAAACTCTTCCCACACGCCAGGCATTTATAGGGTTTCTGCCCTGTGTGAATTCTCTGGTGTTTAACAAGCCCTGACTGATCGCAAAAGGTTTTGTCACAGTCCGAGCATTTATATGGTCTCTCGCCGGTGTGAATTCTTTGATGCGAGGTAAGGTGGGTGCTCTGGCTGAAACTTTTCCCACACTCCAAGCATTTGTACGGCCTCTCTCCTGTGTGAATGGTCTTGTGGTTAACGAGGCCCGACTGGTTGCAAAAGTCTTTCCCACAATCCGAGCACTTGTAGGGCTTCTCCCCCGTGTGGATCCTCTGGTGCGAGGTCAGGCTGGTGCTGTGGCGGAAGCTCTTCCCACACTCGAAGCATTGATAGGGTTTCTCCCCGGTGTGGATCCTCTGATGTTGAATCAGGCTGGTGCTCTGGTTGAAGGTCTTGCCACAGCTGGGGCAGCTGTAGGGCCTCTCCCCCGTGTGGACCCTCTGGTGGGAGGTCAGCTGAGTGCTTTGGCCAAAACCTTTCCCACATTCTAAGCACTTGTAGAGCTTCGCACCGGAGTCGAGAAGCTGACACTCGGCAAAGATTCTACTCCGATGAAAACTCTTCCCTAAAGTTGGGCTCTTGTTGGGTTTCTCCACGAGGTGGGTTCTCCAGGGGGCTCCCAGACACCGTTTCTTCCTCTCTTCCATTGCTTGTCCCGGAATGATGACTTCATGGACATGTTCATCCTGGCAGGAAATGATGACATCACTCTTTTTCTCCTCAGGTCTGTATGATTCACCCCGCTTCCATAGGTTTTCTCTGAGTACTTCGATAGGGTTGGTTTCTGAAGGGATCACACTGGGATCCCTCCCGTCTTCATTCTTCATTTCCTCCCCTGGAATAAAAGAAAAGAGATTAAAACAGGGGAAGAAGCTATGCCTCAGATGAAGGACCTACCCTTATTTCTTTTAGTGACAATTATATAAGGCCATCTACAGAGGGAATCAAGCTATTCTCCAAAGCACCTGAAGGCAGGACAAGGAGCAACGGGTGGAAACTAACCAAAGAGAGAAGCAACCTAGAACTAAGGATAAACTTCCTGACAGTTAGAACAATTAACTAGTGGAACAACCTGCCTCCAGAAGCGGTGAATGCGCCAACACTGGAAGTTTTTAAGAAAAGACTGAACAGACATTTGTCTGAAATGGTATAGGGTTTCCTGCCTGAGCAGGGGGTTGGACTAGATGACCTCCAAGGTCTCTTCCAACTGTATTATTATTATTATTATTATTATTATTATTACATCTAAAATGCAAACAAACTATGGTTGTAAAATAATGGTTTCCAGATGGTTGCTAAACTTCAGGTTTAAACTCAGATTCGAACACTCAGCCCAGCTCAGGGGTAGGCAACCTTGACTCTTTTATGACTCGTGGACTTCAACTCCCAGAATTCCTGAGCCAGCCATGCTGAGGGGAAAGGGAGAGTTTCCAAGCTGAGCCATGCTGGCTCAGGAATTCTGGGAGTTGAAATCCACGAGTCATAAAAGGGCCAAGTTTGAAGACCCCTGTCCTAGACAGTCACTTCTCTGAAATGGTGTAGGGCAGGGCTAGGCAACCTTGGCCCCTTCATGATTCGTAGACTTCAACTCCCAGAATTCCTGAGCCAGCCTGGCTCAGCTTGGAAACCTCTCCCTTCCCCTCAGCATGGCTGCCTCAGGAATTCTGGGAGTTGAAGTCCATGAGTCATAAAAGAACCAAGGTTGCCTACCTCTGGCCTAGCTCAATGCAGATCAGAAGGCCTCTGAGGAGATGCTTTTCCAGTGGATGGGAACATCTGCCCTTTAGACCAGCAGCCTGGCCCCTTCCTCTCCCCTCCCCAAATTCATACAGGTAGTCCTTGAGTTACGACCACGATTGAACCTGACATTTCTACTGCTAAGCGAGACAGTGGTTAAGTGAGGTTTGCCCCATTTTCTGACCTTTCTTGCCGCAGTTGAAAGAATCGCTACTGTTAAGTCAGTGACATGGTTGTTAAGTGAATCCGGTTTTGACTGACTTTGCTTGTCGGAAGGTCGCAAAAGGAGATCACGTGACCCCCGGGACACAGCGACCGTCATAAATATGAAAACAGTTGCCAAGCATCCAAATCTTGATCACGTGACCCTGGGGACGCTGCAACGTTCCTAAATATGAAAAATGCTCATAAGTCACTTTTTGCAGTGACATTTTAACTTTGAACCGTCGCTAAATGAGCTGTCGTAAGTCGAGGACTACCTGTACACCACTGAATGTCTGCCCTTCCCGCCATAGAATAAAAGATTCTGAAGTTCTATCAGACAGAATCGATGGCGGGCAACCAAGGTTAGCCCAGCCAGGGGCATCACAGAAGCTAACCGAGGTTCCCCTTCAGATCAAAGGGCCTGGCGTCTCCCTCACCATCTTCCCGCGTAGTTTCGGCATGCAGCTGCCTCTGCTCCATCTCAGTGGGAGCCTGGCCGGTCCCGGAGGAATGCGCAGAGCCCTCTTTGATGTTGACCTGGAATCAGCAGAGAGGAACAGTTTTAGGATACGACAGTGATGGCGAACTTTTAGAGACCGAGTGTCCAAACTGCAACCCAAAACCCACTTATGTATCGTCGGGTGCTAGGTGGGCGTGCCCCATTGGGTGGGCGTGCCCCATTGAGGGGGCGTGGTTGCAGTGATAACGGCAGACTGGGTGGGACTAAAAAGTTCAATCAATCAATTCCAACTTTGCGAGATATTTTTTCTTCCCGCAAGAAGCTGGTATTGACTGATTGAACCTTTTCTTTTTTGCACACGGCGGCAGAGGCCTAAAGCGAAAAGGTTTTATAAAACCCAGCTGAAGGCCTAGGTATGGGCAATGGCGCGTGTGCCCACAGAAAGGGCTCTGCGTGCTACCTGTGGCACGCGTGCCATAGGTTCGCCACCATGGGGATAGGACAACCGGGCTGGGAGGTGATGTCTGTGTCCTTTGCCACATGGATAGTGTTCTTTGCCACATGTCTGTGTCCTTTGCCACATGGATAGTCTGTAGATATTTATTTCCAGACAGCATTGGATTTGTCTCCCACTGAGTTCACCCCCCCTCTCTCTCTCTCTCCCCATATCTATCTATCTATCTATCTATCTATCTATCTATCTATCTATCTATCTATCTATCATCTATCTATCTATCTATCTATCTATCTTCTATCATCTATCTACCCATATCTATCTATCTATGTAGGTCTTTGGTTATTCGGGTTTTCTCCCGCGTAAAATTGGAAGTGTCTTGGCGACGTTTCGACGAAGTTCCATTCATCATCTTCAGGCTGGTGTTTTCGGCTTCGTGCTTCTAGGAGCAATGTGTGATCGTAGCTGTTTCTTCCTTTTAACTGCCAGTGGGGTTATGAACTGATTGGGTGGTAGCTTGGCTGTGTTCTGATTGGGTGAAAGTGTGTTCTGATATCTATCTATCTATCTATCTATCTATCTATCTATCTATCTATCTATCCATCTTCTATCATCTATCTACCCATATCTATCCATCTATCATCCATTTATCATCCATCCATCACCCATCTATCACCCATCTAACATCCATCTATCATCTATTCATATCTATCCATCTATCATCTATCTACCCATATCTATCATCCATCATCCATCTATCTATCACCCATCTATCTATCAACCATCTATCCTCAATCTAACTATCTATCTACTGTATATCTTCCTTTCTCTTTCACTGGAAATGTTGGTTTCTTTTGAAGCCTATCAAATCTTTCTTTCATGTAAGGTTGCTGCTGTTTTGGCTGCATTTGGAGAACAGGTTTACTCTGAATGAATAGAATGGAGATCTCTTGAATGGTGTCTCACTGATACTTTGAATCACAACTCCAATTAACCTTGGCTGCTCTGGGACTGATGGGGCTCCTAGTCCCAAACATCTAGAAAACAGCCCAAAAGAGGAACACTGAGAGAGGGCATTTGGTAACTGGCCATTTCCAATACATTAGCCAGTTGAAGCCGAAGCCAAGGAGAAAACAAACACAGGAGTGACGTTGGAGTAGGAGGAACTCAACAGATGCTGGCTCATTATGGGAGACAATTTGGATAAGAAATGTTAAATTTACACAAGCTCAAAATTTGAGAGAAAATTTTTATAAAATGTTTTATAGATGGCATTTAGTTCCTAAAAAATTATCTTGTATGTATTCCAACATACAGCCCAAATGTTGGAGATGTGGCAATAATGATGCGACATACTTTCATATTTGGTGGAATTGTAAAAGAGTAAAGGCTTTTTGGATTATGATTTGGTGGAACATTCAAAAGATTTTTAGAAAAAAGATAAAGTTTACTCCTCAATTATTTTTACTTGGTATTTTTGTTGATTTAAATGAAAAAGAAACTACTTTGATGTTGAATTTATTAACTGCAGCAAGGTTACTAGTAGGTTTATATTGGAAGAAAGATTCTTTGCCTACTTTAGAAGAATGGATATTTAAAGTATCTAGTTTTGCAGAAATGGCAAAAATTTCTGCTTATTTAAAGGATCATACACCAGAAAGATATATTACTGTATGGGGAAGGTGGATAGATTATATTCAGAAAAAGTATGGAATTAAAAAGTTTTATTTATTTTATGAATGAATATCAAATATTATAGAGAATTGTTTTATAGGTTATGGAGTTAAAGGTTAATTATGATATTTTTTTTTCTTTTTCTCTCTTTTTTTTTCTTTTTTCTTAATTATTATAATTTTCTTTTTTTTTTTAACCCTGTATTCTGCTCTGGGAAGTGAAGGGAGGGGGGGTGGGGGTGGGAGGGAGGGTAAGGGGGGAGGTTTCTATTTTAAAATTTTATTGTATTTTTATAAATGATTGTATGTTTTAAAAATAAAAAATTTCAATAAAAAATTTTTTTCGATGCTGGCTCAAGGCTGGGCTGGTTCTCCAGAATGCCTGGCAAAGCAGGAGCAGCTACAACACCCTTTATTTGACGTCTGGTTATCATTAGTATAACCTTTCCTCTGCCCAGCTTCTCATATGCTCTGACTCACCTCTTTTGACTTAGCCTGCACCAGCTTCATTACTGCAACTCTACGTCCCAAAATGTAGCTCTAATTAAGGCCAAAAGCTCAACACAAGGGAGATATCTTTCAACGATGATCTCCTAAGCTTCTTGGCCAAGGTGGAGACTTCCACCACCTTCTAAACCAAAGTCCCACCCTCTTACCTTTTTTCCACCGTGGTCCTTAGCCTCTTTTTGCCACTGGAGGAACTCTTCAGCCAGGCTCACTGCTTGGGAACAAGTCTCGGGCTTTCCTTCCCAGACCCAACGCTGGATCTCCGGAGGCAAGATGGCGAGGAATTGCTCCAGGATCAACAGCTCCAGGATCTGCTCCTTGGAGTGTCTCTCCACTTTCAGCCACCCATGACAAAGGTCTTGGAGCTGATTGTACGCTGCAGTAGGTCCCTCAGCTTCCTGGTAACAGAAATGCCGGAAGTGCTGGCGATGCTTCTCCCTCTTCAGAGCATCCCTTTGCAAGATGGCCGCTTTCACTTTCCCGTAATCCAGCCTATCGTTGGCCACCATTCTGTCAAAGACCTGTTGGGTCTTTCCACTGAGAGCCGGCAGGAGCCTGGGTATCCATTCCTCCCTGGGCCACTGGCAAGCTTTGGCCACTTCCTCAAAGGAATCCAAGAATGCCTTGGCGTTGTCCCACGGGGTGGTGGGCTCCTTTGCCGAGGGTGCGCATCTCCGGCTGGAGCAAGGGGACTCCATCTTCTTCAGAAATGCTTGCCATTGGGCTTCCCAGCAGCCTGTCATGCCCACTCTTGCTTCTTCTTTCATCCAATGGGACATTGTCCTTTGCGGAAGGTGTCCGATAAACTCAGAACGCACTGACTCCAGAGATGGGCCTTCTCCTTCCTCATCTGCCTGGGGTTTGAAGGCAACAACACTCTGGAGGCCACCAAGAGCTTCTCTGACCTCTTCTGGGTCTTCTTCTTTTGGCCAGACTGGAAAAGGGTTCTCTTCCATTTTCATCCTGGGATGTAAGAATCTCCCAAATTAAGTTCTCGGGAGCCACGCTGTTCTCTGGAACTCCTGCTTGGAAAGCAGAGGAAAATTGAACCCAGGTATTAATACCACTCTACAATGCCTTGGTAAGGCCACACTTGGAATACTGCATCCAGTTTTGGTCACCACAATGTAAAAAAGATGTTGAGACTCTAGAAGGAGTACAGAGAAGAGCAACAAAGATGATTAGGGGACTGGAGGCTAAAGCATATAAGGAAAGGCTGCTGGAATTGGGTATGTCTAGTTTAATGAAGAGAAGGACGGGGGGGGGGCATGATAGCAGTGTTTCAGTATCTCAGGGCCTGCTCCAAAGAAGAGGGAGTCAAGCTATTCTCCAAAGCGCCTGAAGGCAGGACAAGAAGCAATGGATGGAAACTAATCAAGGAGAGAAGCAACCTAGAACCAAGGAGAAACTTCCTGACAGTTAGAACAATTCACCAGTGCAACAACCTGCCTCCAGAAGCGGTGTATGCTCCAACCCTAGAAGTTTTTAAGAAGAGACTGGACAGCCATCTGTCCGAAATGGTGTAGGGTTTCCTGCCTGAGCAGGGGGTTGGACTACATGACCTCCAAGGTCCCTTCCAACTTTATTATTGTTGTTGTTGTTATTATAGGCCAACTGATGGGTTAACTCAGAATCCTGGATGTCAGGTAGTGTACGTATGGTTAAACAAGGAAAATCTTTTCCTTTATAAAGGCATCATTCTGTGATATATATTCACACACACGTATCTATCTATCTATGGCGACTGAAACTGCAGGCGCTCCTTGAGTTACAAAAGTTCATTCAGTGACCATTTGAAGTTACAACAGTGCTGAAAAAAGTGACTTATGACCGTTTTTCACACTTACAACCACTGCAGCATCTCCCCCCCCCCGTCACGTGATCAAAATTCAAATGCTTGATAACTAACTCCTATTTATGACTGTCGCAGTGTCCCGGGATCATGGGATCTCCTTTTGCGACCTTCTGACAAGCAAAGTCAATGGGGAAGCCGGATTCACTTAACAACCGTGTTGCTAACTTCCCAAACTACAGCGATTCACTTAACAACGGTGGCGTCAAAGGTCATAAAATGGAGCAAAACTCAATTAACAAATGTCAGTTGTGGTCATACGTTGAGGATTATTTACACAGTAAGGTAGACAAGGAGTCTCCTGGGTGATTTACTCTTAGTTGTTTACCAGATTAAATGCAGCTTTCCCTGTCATACAAGCTACAGTTGCTAATCCAGAGCCTATTTTGCAAGCCAGTATCTAGTTACCTATATCCCACCTTCTAGGGCAGGGGTAGGCCACTTTGGCTCTTTTATGACTCGTGGACTTTAAATCCCAGAATTCCTGAGCCAGCCATGCTGAGGGGAAAGGGTGAGGTTTCCATGCTGAGCCATGCTGGCTCAGGAATTCTGGGAGTTGAAGTCCACGAGTCGTAAAAGAGCCGAGGTTGCCTAGCCCTGCCCTACACCATTTCAGAGAAGTGACTGTCTAGGACAGGGTTTTTCAAACTTGGCTCTTTTATGACCCGTGGACTTCAACTCCCAGAATTCCTGAGCCAGCCATGCTGAGGGGAAAGGGAGAGGTTTCCAGGCTGAGCCATGGCTGGCTCAGGAATTCTGGGAGTTGAAGTCCACGAGTCATAAAAGAGCCAAGGTTGCCTACCCCTGGTCTAAGGGCTATTCTAAGTGTTATTTATATAGCCTAGGGCAGGTGTAGGCCATCTTGGCTCTTTTGTGACTCGTGGACTTCAACTCCCAGAATTCCTGAGCCAGCCATGCTGAGGGGAAAGGGAGAGGTTTCCAAGCTGAGCCATGCTGGCTCAGGAATTCTGGGAGTTGAAGTCCACGAGTCATAAAAGAGCCAAGTTTGAAGAACCCTGTCCTAGACAATCATTTCTCTGAAATGGTGTAGGGCAAGGCTAGGCAACCTCGGCTCTTTTATGACTGGTGGACTTCAACTCCCAGAATTCCTGAGCCAGCCTGGCTCAGCATGGAAACCTCTCGCTTTCCCCTCAGCATGGCTGGCTCAAGAATTCTGGGAGTTGAAGTCCACCAGTCATAAAAGAACCTGGGTTGCCTACCCCTGCCTTATTCCATTTCCCTGCCGTTGGTTTCTTCTTTTGTTGGATTGTGAGCGCCTTGCCTGGGATCTATGCAGAAAAAAATCCTTGCATAATTTGGGGAAGAAAAGTCTATCTTTCTCTCTTGACTAAACGCAGTGGTTTCCCCCCTAATTTTGGCGAAAGCCCCTTCCCATTTTTGCACCCCCTTCCATCCTCCCCTCCCTCAATTCTTTTGCTTTTTTTCATAGTACCTTCTTCTGGTTCCACTTGTCCTTTTACAGCTATGAAGCCATTAAAAAGAAAACACCTCTTCCTTTGTAGAAAAAAAGGAGAACTATTCGCTCCCTCCCATTCATTCCCCCCCCCCTTCCTTTCTAGGAAGCCCAGCTCTATAGGCTTAACCCTTTGGAAACCCAGAAGGCAAAAACAAAAAAATTAAACTTGGCTCTTTTATGACTCGTGGACTTCAGCTCCCAGAATTCCTCAGCCAGCCTGGCTCAGCTTGGAAACCTCTCCCTTTCCCCTCAGCACAGCTGGTCAGGAATTCTGGGAGTTGAAGTCCACGAGTCCTAAAAGAGGCAAGTTGGCCTATTCCTGATTTATACTCTAATCTAATATTTCTCAACCTTGGCAACTTGAAAATGTGTGGACTTCAATCCCCAGAATTCAGGTTGGCTGGGGAATTCTGAGGGTTGAAGTCCACACATTTTAAAGTTGCCAGCGTTGAGAAACACTGTTTCTTCAGCTTCTTTGCATAGGCGGCACTTACTGTATGTTGCTGTCTTCTCAATTTTGACTTTATATGCATTTGTCCTTAAGGCTTGGTCTTGTGCAGCCAGAATTAGTCCCTCGGTCTCTTTCTTCAGTTTTCCTGCTCTTAGCCATTGCCAGGTCTTGTTATTATCTGTTTTCCCAGCTGTTTTTTTAATGTATTGGCCATGTAGTGCTTTGTCTTCTTCTTCTTCTTCTTCTTCTTCTTCTTCTTCTTCTTCTTCTTCTTCTTCTTCTTCTTCTTCTTCTTCTTCTTCTTCTTCTTCTTATTCTTCTTCTTCTTCTTATCTTCTTCTTCTTCTTCTTCTTCTTCTTCTTCTTCTTCTTCTTCTCCTCCTCCTCCTCCTCCTTCTTCTTATTGCCTGCGGCTGACAAGCATACAGTTAATCCTTGCTTACTGGCTGCCTTGTTTAATGGCTATTCAAACTTGCAGTGGCATTCAAAAAATTAGCTTTGTGACTAATTCTTGCACTTATGGGGACCTTTGCAGCACCCTACGTCTAGAAGATTGCCATTCATGTTAATAGAGAACAAATTGAAGGGATAGGGAGGAGAAGAAGAAGAAAAGAGCTTTTTTACCAGTTTTACATTACATTATGTAATCGTAGACTTTTATCAAACCAGATTTCAGCTGCCCGGACAGGAATGTTCTACTCCACCGTAAGAATAGTTGGCTTCTGGTGTTCAGTGTCACCTGGGGAGGGGTCAATGCCTCATATATTTCCCCCACCTCCCTAATTTTTGCAGTTCTGCAGTACACCAAATCAGGCTGCTGAAAATTGGAGGCAATTGGCCAAATGAAGTTATTTGTAATTATTATTTTTGTGTTGGAATGAAATCTAATAGGCTTGAAAGTAAAGACTTCTTCGAGCTGAGTTTCATTCTTTGCAGAAATAATGAAGTGGTTTGCCCGCACAAGGTTTGTGGTGCTGCCACCGCCTGTGCAATACTAGTGGCGCTGCCATCACCTGCACAACACTCGCGTCAATGGTGGCAAGAGAGGGGGTGAGCACGTGCACATGCGCATACACTGCCCAGCTATTCATGTGGCACGGTGGCCAAGAGACTACGGCCTGGTGGTGGCCCATGGCCCATAGGTTGGAGACCTCGGATATAAAACACACTAATAAACAAATAAACCAAATACAATTTATGATAAAAAAAAATAAGAACAGCAAATATAAAAATAATCCACAGTAACTTAGTATCCATCAAAGATCAGGATAAATGAATGACTTTCCTGCTCAAAAGTTACAATATTTGGAAACTAATATAGCTTAAGCAGGAAAGATATTGCCCAGAATGGGGTGCCACCACTGAAGAGGCCCTGTTGTGCATTATTACACTGTGGGCATGGTAGGAATTCTAGGAGACATCTCTAAGCCAGCTTTGATGCTCTTTAGCTCATTGGAATGAGTCCAGAATTCTCCATTCAGCATCATTATGGTTGAGAAGTTGGCTGATCTAGTTTAATCCTTCACTCAGTCCAGGTGTTGGGCAAGATGGTTAAAAAGCTGGCATATTCTCCCTTCCTTGTTTTTTCTAGTCTTGGTGTTCAAACAGTGGTCACAGAGATTACCTGACATTCCAGACTAGACAAAATGCTTGGGGGATATTGGGTCTAGCATCGGTTTTGGAAACATTTTACATTTCCATTCCATTGTGTATTCTTCTGATGTGGATCCATTTTTGTCAAGATGGTTTACCATCAGAAAAAAAAACCTGATGCCTCTCTGTGATTGGGATTTTGCTTAGCAGCAGAAGAGTTAGGAGCTCCAGCAATATCTTAGGATCTAGACCAGGGGTAGGCAACCTTGGCTCTTTTATGACTCATGGACTTCAACTCCCAGAATTCCTGAGCCAGCCATGCTGAGGGGAAAGGGAGAGGTTTCCAAGCTGAGCCAGGCTGGCTCAGGGATTCTGGGAGTTGAAGTCCACGAGTCATAAAAGAGCCAAGATTGCCTACCCCTGATCTAGACTGATGTTCCTCAACCTTAGCAATTTTAAGATGCATGGACTTCAACTCCCAGAATTCCCCTATCAGCATGGGCACACATCGTGAGATTGCCAAGACTGAGATACTGCCAACCTACATTCTTAACACCACTCAATCTATTTCCACCAATTTGCAACTTTCTGAACCTGAGACCCAGAAACAATAATTTCCAGGAATGACAGCTCTTCAGGGGACAGATCACGGTCTACCGAATTTCTGCCCAAGAACAGGCAAGGATTTAACAAAGATAAATAGAATGTCAGTTTTCTCAAGCTCCGCCGGTATTTCAACCCTAATCAGAACTTTTTTCAGGAGCTATCCAGGGTCCTGAAACTCTAGTTTTGTCACAGGCGACTAGTAATAATTTTCACGGACTAACACATTTTATTAAAAGGCGGAAGCTTTCAAAAGCGCCTGCCTTTTAATAGACAGTTGATAACATTGGCACCAGAATTTTGTCTTCCTGTCACCAAAGACTAACATGGTTCTACTATAATCCCTCTTATTTAACCGACAGTCTCTTAAATGACAGCTTTTGATTCCTTGATTAGGGTTATTGCATATTCCAGATACTATCAAGGTAGCAAAAAAACCAACAACAACTATTGCTTGGGAAGCCACGGTGGGTCAGTGAACCTTACTCCCTCTCCTATGAGTTTGGATACATTAATAGAATCTTCCAAGCCAGAAGTACAAATTTTCCTTCCTAAAAGCCATCTAGTCCACTATACTTCCACTAAAGCAGACCAACCCCTTCCTCAAATAGGAGACCCTGTATCATTTCAGACAAATGGCTGTCCAATCTCTTCTTAAAAGCCTCCATTGATGGAGTACCCACAACTTCTGGAGGCAAGTTGTTCCAGTGGTTCATTGTTCTCACTGTGATGCAGTATTCCAAGTGTGGCCTTACCAAGGCATTGTAAAGTGGTATTAATACTCCACGTGATCTTGATTCTATCCCTCTGTTAATACAGCCCAGCACTGAGTTGGCTTTTTTGGCAGCTGTAGCACACTGCTGGCTCATATTTAGGTGATTGTCCACTAGGACTCCGAGGTCCCTCTCACAGTTACTACTATTGAGCAAGGTACCCCCTATACTATACCTGTGCATTTGGTTTTTCTTGCCTAAATGTAGAACCTTACTTTTTTCACCATTGAATTTCATTTTGTTAGATAGTGGCCAGTGTTCAAGTCTGTCCAGATCCCTCTGTATCTTAAGCCTGTCTTCTGGAGTGTTGGCTATTCCTGCCAGCTTGGTGATGTCTGCAAATTTGATGAGTTACCCATCTATCCCCTCATCCAAATCGTTGATGAAGATGTTGAAGACCACAGGGCCTAGAACAGAGCCTTGGGTCACCCCACTACACACTTCCCTCCATGTAGATGCGGTTCCATTGAGGATCACATGCTGAGTACGGCCGGTCAGCCAGCTACGAATCCATCTGGTGGTGATGCTGTCTAACCCACATTTTTCTATCTTATCAAGTAGTAGGTTGTGATCTACTTTATCCAATGCCTTACTGAAGTCCAAGTAAATTATATCCACAGCATTCCTCTGATCCACTAATTTTGTCACTTGGTCAAAGAATGCAATAAGATTTGTCTGGCATGATCTATTTTTGACAAACCCATGTTGGCTTTTAGTAATGACTTTGTTTGCCTCTAGGTGTTTGCTGATTCATTGTTTGATTATCTTTTCCAGGATCTTCCCAGGTATTGAGGTAAGGTTGATAGGTCTGTAATTTCCTGGGTCCATTTTTTTCCCCTTTTTTGAAGATGGGAACTACATCAGCTCTTTTCCAGTCCTCTGGTAGATTCCCAGTGCTCCAGGATCTTTGAAAAATATAGTTCAGTGGTTCTGAGATCACATCTGCCAATTCCTTGAGAACCTTGGGGTGTAATCCATCTGGTCCTGGCGATTTGAACTCGTCTAGCCTGGATAGGTGCTCACTTATCAAATGTTCCTATTTTTATGAAAGTTTCTGTTTTGCTACCTCATTCTCAAGGTTTGTGACCATTTCTTTCACGTGCTGGTGCTACCAAGCAATTCTTTTATTGGAGGAGGTGGGAAACATGGCTACTGTTGGTGTGAATGTTTTCTGATACATCTTCCCTCCTAGATTTACATTTCTCAAATGGAAAAAATAAATTGGAATGTTCTTTTAGGATCTTTTGGGGGGGTTGAACTGAAATGATGCAGATCATCAGAGACTATACCGTGAAAAACAAAATATCCACCCTTGGCCACTAAACTAGGGCAAGAAACAGTCCACGTGTATGAGTGGGTTCCGAAACGGATAGATTCAAGACGGTTATGTAAACTGATGAAACTGAAGAAGCTTCTTCTTGGATGAGAAGCGAAATGTTTTCAAGGAAAAACAACCTCAGGAAAGTTCAGCTGCCTTTTGAAAAACATCTTTGGGACAACCATGGCCCAGCACGATGGAGAATCATAGATAAACAGTTGCAAACGTTCCCGCTATCAGTGAACAGACTTGCCTCTTCATAGGGCCACAAAGAAGAGAATGAAAAGTCTCTTCCCAAATAAATGGATCCTACACTGAAAATAAAATA